AAACAGCTTTTCCTTTTTCTCTGCTGCAGCAAATGCAATATCAACAACAAAAATGAGGTGGAAAGGGGATGGCATGCTCCTCTTTACAGCAAAATGCCCACCAATGAAAGTAGAAGTGAATGAGAGAATTAGAAAATCACTGTTTTTCAACGACCAAAGCAATAACCAAATCAGGCAAGAACCCTGAATGAATACCAAGGTCAAGAGGTGAAATTTTTCTGGAGAACAGAATACTCACATGATATCAAAATGTTATGCCACAGACTACTTAGAAATCACACAGGGACAAAGGCACCTTTACAAAGGAGAAATCTGTCTGCAAAAAAAAAAACACCCTAAATAAGTCATCAAACTGAGTAATACCAATAGCATCAGTGATGACTAGACGAACTGGCATTAAGAGCTTCCAGATGTAACACAATGTAAACGACTCATCACCTGCTTAATATTCTTACCCAAACTGTTAAACATAAACCTCAAAAAGAGGCAAATCCATATTGTAGGACACTTTACAGAACAACAGTCCTAGGCTCTGAGAAAATGTCATTGTCATGAAAAATTTAAAAACGTGGCTGGGGGACTACTCAAGATTAAAGAACACTAAAGAGACATGACAACAGAATGCAATGTATGATACTTGCTTGGATTGTTGATCCCCCAAATATCTGTAAAAAGGGACAATCGAGGACGTTTAAATATGGACTGTATGTGGACTTAGATAATATTACCATATCATTGTTTAATTTCTTTAATGTGATAATGATACTGTGGTTGTATAGGAGTACATCCTAGTACTTAGGAGATACATGGTGAAGTAATTGGTGAAAAGTTTGGAACTGTTAAACGTTTAAGCCCCCCCTCCCCCCAAAAAGAAGAAGAAGCCTGAGAGGTAAAGCAATGGGATAATAGGAATCTAAGTAAAAGAATGTTCACTGTTTACCCCTTCATTTTTGTGTGTTTTCAAATTAAAAATTTGAGGAAAAAATGGATTCCTCATATTTCAGAGTTATGCACTGAAATATTTACAAATCAAATAAGATGATTTCTGGTATTTGCTTGAGAATAATCTGGAGGAGGGAGAAAGGGAGAGAACACGTATGAAATGAGACTGACCATGAGTTATTAATAGTTGCAGTTGGGAGATGGGTAATTAATTAGAGTTTCCTTACACTATCCTGTTTTGTGCAGTGGTTCTTAAAGAACTGTGGTTCTCCACCAGCAGCATCAGCATCACCAGGGAACTTGTTGGAAAAGCGAACTCTGAGTCTCACCCCAGATCTTGTAATCTGAGACTGCAGATATGGAGCTCAACAATCTGTGCTTTCATAAGCCCTCTAGGTGATTCTGATGCAAGCTAATGTTCCAGGACCACTGCTCTAATGCAACCAACCTGGCGATTCTTTGTCAGGTTTGTATACAAACTCTTTTTGTATATGCTGAAAATTATCCACTGTACAATTTTTAAAATAAAGACAACACACATCGCAGATATTTTACCGGCCAATTTTAAATAAAGTTTGAAGAAGGAGAATCCCAATCTTATACAAACACTTTCAGATAGAAAAGGGGGACTATTTCTCAACTCAGTCTATGAGACTAAAACCTTAACTCTGGAACCAGACAAAGATAGTATGAGAAAGAGAAAAATAAATTCAATCTCACTCTTAAACAAAAGATGCAAAATGTTAAGCAAAATTTTAGCAAGGTGACACCCCCACCCCGTGGCACATACAAAAGATAATACATTAAAAGTAAGTTACATTTATCCTAGGAAGAGAGCCAAGCTGGTTTAACACTAGGAAAAGTAGAGATGGAAGGGGACATGAGAGAGGTTTGTGTGTTGCTACTATATTGTGCTGCTTGCTCTAGGTGCTAATTGCATGTATATGTTTAATTTTTGAAAACATTAAAATGCACACTCATGATTCTTGTACTTTTTGATTATAAGATAAACGACACTAAAGGTTTTGGAAAACTCTAAGATGCAGTCACTGTATACACGGACTAAATAGCCTTGATCATTTCCATACCAGCAAAAACTAAATTTCAACATCTATTCACAATTTTTAAGACAAACTGTGGAAACTAGGAATGTAAGGGATGTTCCTGAATGTGCTGAAGGGAAAGAGAGAGAGAAAGATGGAAAGGAAGGAAGGAAGGAAGGAAGGAAGGAAGGAAGGAAGGAAGGAAGGAAGGAAGGAGAAGGAGGGAGAGAAAAAAAGAGAAAACACAGGCAAACCATTGTAATATGGAAATGTTGGCAGCATTCTATTTAAAGTAAAAAACCATCCTAAAGAAGCTCAATTTTGACTTTGTAATGGGTGTCCCAGCCAATACAGTAAGAAACCCATATATTTATTTATATTTCTATTACTCACAGATTTACAGAAAGCCCCAGAATGCCTATAGAAAAATTTTTAGAATTAGTAGAATTTAGCATGGTGGCTGACTTGAAGACCACTATATTTTTTAAAAAGTCCAATGCATTTATGTAAATTAGATCTAAATAAAAATTGTCATTTTATACGGATATTAAGTACTAGAGTGGCAATGCTCCAGAATACTTGGGATAAATTACAATAAACGATGTGCGAGATCTGAATGCACAAAAGAAAAAAGAAAAACTAAAAACTAAACTAAAAGATTAAAAAGTTAAGGATGCACATGAACGGAGAGACATCCCCAGTGGGTGAGTAGGAAGGCTGGACATCCTACAGATAGTCAACTTTCCCCTGTCTGATCCATAGAGTCAGTGAAAATGGAATCCAAATCTGTTGCAACTGAGTTTTCAGGGAACTTGACATGCAGATCCTAGTATTTATATGGAAGGGCAAAAGGCAAAGAATAGCAAAGATATGTTTGAAGATGATGAATAAGATATAGGGACTTGTCCTAGGACACCTCAAGAGGTATAACGAAGCGATAAAAAATGAAGACAGTGCAGTATTGGCACAGGAATAGACCAATGCACCTGTGGAACACAACGGACACGCAAACGTGGGCGCAAATGCACCCAGACTTTGGCAAATGTTCCCTGGGGGTGTAAAGTTGCCCCTGACTGAGATCCCTGGCACAGGAATATGGATCGACCTTAAAAAGACATGCTGAATTTTGAAAAGGTAAATTCCAGAATACCAAGTCCATGAGTTAAAAATGCATTCGCACAAGGTATTTTACATCCAAAGGGAGACTAGTCTGAGAAACGAGCCTTGGGAAGCACAAAGCTGAACTTCACCTCAGGAGCTACTGGCTAGTCTAGTAAAGAGAGCACAAGAAGCTACACGGATGTGGAGAGAGCGGAACTGCAGGGCGTGAGCGTCAGTTGATCTCGAAGCTCATTGGTCACCGGCCGCCACGATGGGAGGGGGCAGGGGGGAAGTGGAAGGCAGCGCTGGAAGCTCATTGGCCTTGTAGGAAGGGCGGGAAAGGTAGCAGAAGCCGGGTTTTCCCTCAGGCCTCTTGTCCCAGCTGAGCGATTCCGACCTGCTGTAGGCTTAGGTAAGGCTTATGACACAGGTTTTCGTCAGGAATACCACCCTTGTTCTCCATGACTCTTCTTTCCTCCCTCCCTCCTTCTCCGAATCCCCAGCTCCTTTCCCTCTCTTCCACCTCAGCGGGGTATCCCCACCCGCCATGACATCCCACTCAGCCCCTACACCTCCCCACACTCCTTTTGGGAGAACCCTTCGCCCCTGCCCCTGGGACAGGGCTCATGCCCCTGCCTTTTATTCGGAGGTGAGGGAGACAGTGAGTGATTGGGCTTCCTGAGGAGATGGAACACTCCAGGAGGGTGGGGTGGAATGGGTTGTGGGGGGTGTGGCGGAGTGCGGTGATGGTGTGTGCTCAAGCACAATCGTCGAACTGTGGAGAAGAGTATGGAAGATTGTTGGGAGGCTGCGGAGGGAGTGCGTGGGTTTGCATGAAAGCAGAGAGGCTGTGTCGGCCCAAGAGAAAAATTAGTTTAATGAGGAGTTGCCGATTGGCTAGATTAAGGCCTGGCGCTTCGCAGGGGGCTCAAGAAATATCTGTTGAGTAAAGAATGGAGGGAATGAATGAAGGGGTGAATGAAAACAGTAATTGAAAGAGGGCTGGGGATCCAGGAGAACATTATGGTTTCATGGGGTGGAAGAGGGTATTCAGCTTAAAGGGGGAACAAAGGAATAATTAAGATTGTGGTGGGGTGCAAGAAAAGTCAGAATGGAGTGTGAGGGGAAAACTGAACACAGGGCAGACATGAAACTAATAGAATTGAGTGTCGGGAGCATAAAATCATGTGTGGCGAGTGAATGAAGGCAGGAGGTTAGGAAGACTATTGTTGACGTGGATGCCAGAAATAATAGTTGGGTTTGGCAGAATACAGGATGATACACAAGAAGAGGGTGGAGTAACTGTTGAAGGGGGCACGGGAGTACGTGTGCATGCTGAAAATGAAATCGATGCTGGAGTGAAGGTAAGCAAGGAGAAGAGCGATCGGCTTGAATATGTATGCGGCCCATGCTAAGAGTTTCTTGGTGGGGAGGCTATGTGTGAGTGGGGCTTCCTGGGAAGGAGGCTATGTGAGTAAGAAGGTTGGGGTGAAGATTAGAGAAAGCCATGGGAGAACAAGGGAGGAGGCAATCTGATTCCAGTGGTGAGAGGGATGGAGAAGAAGAATCGAGCCACTTCACATAGGACTTTCCAAGGGCAAAGGAAGTACGTTGGAGGGAGGGGATCACGTGGCCATTCTGACCTCCACTACTGACCCTAGAACCATGGATCCCCAAGAAACACCTGCTGTGCCCTGCTGCTCCTCCAACTTGGAATGCACCACAGGGTGTGAGACCGGAGCCCCACGGGGGACTGAACTTGTCCTCAGAAGCGCTATAAGCCGCCCTGACCGCTGCCAGAAGCGTGACATCTCTACGCAAACCAGAGGCCACAAGCGTTTCTGCATCTTCCGGGCCTGCAAGTGTCACAATTGTGCCCTCTTCTTTATAAGCCGCCCTGACCGCTGCCAGAAGCGTGACATCTCTACGCAAACCAGAGGCCACAAGCATTTCTGCATCTTCCGGGCCTGCAAGTGTCACAATTGTGCCCTCTTCTTGTGAGTATGCTGTCTGGCAAGGAGAAGGGTCAGGCCTCCTCTAAATGTGACTAACCTTAGACCTGTAATCCCTCACTTTAGGGAACACCGCAGGGTCTTGCCTGCTGTGAGTGCCTTGAAGGAGCAGCAGAGGGCAGCGCTAAAGAGGCACAAGGCTCAAAAAATGAAAAGGAGTGTGGCAGCCCCTGCCAAAGCTCACATCCCTGTCAAGAATTTGGGCATCAAAGAAGGAGTCCTCAGTGAGTATCTCTGGCCAGGGAGGGAGCCTGAGTTTGGGTGGAGGAAGCAGGAGTAATTCTGTCACCAGTTCTATCACTGAATTGCTATGTGGCCTTGGGCAAGTTACTCGCTGGACCTTAGCTCGCCCAAGTGTAAAACATCATCAACATTATTTACCAAGTGTTTGTGGGAATGACAGACTGGGGAGTCGAAAAGGTCCATGGTGAGATGAGACTTCAGATTGGGGGTGGACAGAGTGGGGTGGGGCTGAGGGGGAAAGGCTCACCAAAGCTGTCCCTGGTCTTTCACAGCTGGGAAGGTGGACATCGTGCCTCAACCTGAGGCCCACCCCCACACAACCCCCGAGGAGGTAAGTAGAGTCTGTTGCCAGTGGGGGAGGCTCCCACCCAGCCACTGCCCAGACCCCTTCCACTGTGTCCCAAAGACGTGGGTTCCATCTCCAATCCTACCACCGTCTTGCCATGTGACCTTGGGAAAAAAATCACTTCTCCTCCCGGACCTCAGTTTCCTTAGTTGCAAAATGAAAGATAAGACTGTCTGGTCTTCAAGATCTTCAGAGCTCTGGCATTCTGGTCTCCTATCCTCGTCCCCAAACATGCCCACACCTCCTTTCTCCATGGCCAACCTGGTACCTGACTCCAATCTGTGCTCTGCGCCCCTGCAGGAGAGCTCCCAAGGGGCTCTGCTCCTCGGCCAGCCCCCAGAACCTCTGTCTCTGCCCTGCACTCCAGTGACCTTGGAGCAGCAACCGATGGCTTCTCTTTCTAGGGAGCCCCACGGGTCCCCTGTCCTGTGCAGCAGGTGAGTAGAGCAAGGACCGTGGAGCTGGTCATGTCTCGTGTTATTGTGTGCCCACCCTTGTGCCTGATGCTATGGGAGATAGGAGAAGGAGAAGGAGGAGGAGAAGGCAGCATCTCAGGCTGATGGGCAAGACAGGGCTCTCCCAGCTTTGCCATTTCCTATTTGTGAGGCTTTGGACAAGTGAGTTTATGTTTTTGAGCCCCCCATTTCCCTATGGGTGTACTGGGGACAATATTCTACACCTATAGCATTGACAAGAGAACTAGCCTGAGGCCTGACACATAGTAGGCCTTCAACTAGTGAAGGCTGTTATTTCACATGAAACAGATAGATGGGATAGAAGGTCCTGCTGAAAAGTAGGGCCATGATGGCGACAGCCACAGAGGACCAGGGGAAAGCCCAGAGGCCATTAGAGAAGGCTTCCTGGAGATGAGGCAAACTTTTCCATCAAGACCCATGGGGATTGGACAGTATGGAGGTGAGAACCAGTCCCTGAACCGGGACAGTAATCACATCTCTGCAGGTGCTTTGCAGGTAAAAGCACAGACACCTGTGTGATTTTCCATACTCTTTGCTGTTGCCTCAGGTGGAAAAAAGCTGGCAGAAATTAGTGTCTCACAAAAGATATAGAAAAAAGAGGTATGGAAAAGAAAACAGGCCAAGCAGGAGAACAGGCTTGCCCAAGCCACGGCAGTGGCTCAGCAGGCATTCAGATTCCCACATCCAGATATTGCAGAATCCTTCCCCTCTCTCTGTTGACTGGTGCTATGTGTCTGCCACAGGGTTTAATCCCCTGGCCTCTCCTCTCCTTGTTTCTAGGTGCTCAACTCTGATCCTGCAGCCCAGTGCCACCCTTGACTCTCTTCTACTGCAGTCACAGGTTCTGGAAGAGTAGTGGGGTCCAGAACCCTGGGAGGGGCCGAACTTAGTGAATGGAAAGAACAGAAGACCTCGGGGGTTGGGGGGGGGGTGCGGGCTCTCTAGAACTGGAGGCTTCAGAGGCACTTGTCGCGTTGGAAGGAGGTATGGTTTCCCAGCCCCCATTCTCTCAAGCCCTTTCCTTTGCAGGCCGCTACAGCCTCCGACCAGGCTTTGGCTTCTGCCTCCTCAGAGTGGCAGCAGAAGCTGGAGGCCGTCGAGGCTCTGCTGAGTCTGAGACACTCTTTTCAGACCCCTTCTGACTCCATCTCCCTCCACCAGCCCTGTGACGCACCAGGTAGCCTGCTCCTTGAGAGGACACGGGGTGGGGATGGTTGGGAAATGGGGGTTGTTGTGGTAAGCAGGTTCTATGTGGGAAATCAGGGTCAGTGTATTGAACCTCCTTGGAGCCAGTCACCCAAGCTCCTCAGTCTAACTCCTGAGGTGGTGGTTGAGAACTGCTCAGTGAATCTTTAGTTTATCGAACTTTGTGCCCTTGTCCAGTGCCCTTTGTGCAGAGGTTGAGTGCCCTGTAGTCAAGAAACAAGGAAACTGAGGCCCTGAGAGTGGCAGGGACTTGCCCTAGGGCATGCAGCACACATGTTAGGTGGAAGAACCAGGTCTCCCGACTCTCAGCCCAAGGCTCTCTATCGAGACCCCTGCAGTCTTCTGTGGCCTGGGGAGGACATACAGAGGTGATAAGGGCCTAGTCTGGAAGAAGGTCTGGTCCCTGCCTTCAGGAAACTTCCAGCCTAGATATGGAGCCTGGATGCCTGTACCGCCTGTGTTTTGTGGCTAAATCTCAATGGTGTGCCCAGAGAGGAAGGGCTGGAGGAGCCCTGAGGGAAGATAAACTCCTGGGAAGGCTGAGAAGGAAGGCTGGGTATTCCAAGACCAAAATGGTGGATGGGGCATGGTGTGTGAGTGAAGAGGCAACCCTGGAGGAACTAATGGAACAGAGGGAAATGAGGCTGGAGAGTCTACCAATCACGGACCAGCCGCTGTGGGTGATGAGGAGCCAGGCAACGTTTCTGAGCAAGGGAGGAGCATATTCAGAGACCCCAGCCTTGAGGAAAGAGTCGTGGTGGCTGTGATGGAGGGATTGGGGAAGGCAAGAGGGGTGATGAGGAAATCAGAGAGGAAGAGGTCTGTGCAATAGTCCAGGTGACCAATCTTCAGTTGGGTAGGACAAAAAAAGAGGGGACGGCCAGGAGGGGACATGGATGTGACCTGGCTCTGGCCTCTTCTTTTCTATCTATAGCTTCCGTTGAAGAAGCAGGACTCCAGCCTCCCAGGCGCTCTCCCAGACCCAGGCCTGACAGCTCCATCTCACTGCCTATTGGACATCTGGGATGCATCTCCCTCTTGCACTAGGAGCCAAGAGAAGGAGGCCTCACTAAAGCACGGCCTACCCTGTTTCTGAATGTGCGAAATTGTTAATGTGCAAAATGCTTCACATCTTTTTTTTTTTTTAAAGCCTTTAGGTGTTTTATAAGCTTTCAGATCCTTTTAATTATATGGGGCAATTCCTTGACTGAGCATGGATTTTCTTGTACCTCCATCCCACCTTACTCCTTTGGATGCTGGGGCCTTTCCAATGACTCTTATAAAAACAGGATTGTGATATCTACATTGATCGGTGTGAGTTTATCCATCACAGTTTTTATTTTTCTTGTGATCGCAGACATACATGTGCACTCACATACGTATCCATGCATGTGGAAACATGAGGATGTTTTCGCTTTGTGTCTAGGTTTGTGTGCGTGCACAAATAATAAACCCTTGTTGTTGTAAGGCACTGAGATATATGGGATATTTGTCACCACAGCATAACCAAGACTGTCGTGACCCTAGCAGACTTGTTCATTGCACGTTTTAAACTGAAAACCACCTTATTCAAGAACTGGGATTTTTAAAACATAGCTAGATAAGAAAATGGTAGAGGAAGAAAACTAGGATATCTATTTGTTGAGCAATTAAGTGCCTACCCTCTGCCTGGCATAGACTTTTCCAGTTGTCCAGAGGGCCACAAATCATAACGCATACAGGATACCGCAGATGTAAATGAGTAGAGCAGGCCAGATGGGGTCTGGCGAGCTAACAGTGCATGCTCTACCTAAGGGGGCAGCTGCTGCTTGGCCCTGGGCAATTGTTGCCATGCAGGAATGCAGACTCATTGTTGCCAAATCGACCTATTTTTCAAGAGAAGGTGGAATTCTAGATTTCTATGTAAAATTACTCAATTTGTAAACGTTGGCTCAGGTTTTTTCTTTAAGCCCTCTATGTGGGCCAAATCAAACATCAATGCAGGACAGCTTTGGCTGATGGAATGCTAGTTTGATTCTAGTCCAATGTGAATTTTACAGTGGGGAAAACAGGCCAATCACAAAGGGAAGACTCAAAGTGAGGAAATGAATTAGACCCAGACCCCACTTTTGAAGGACCCATGAAATATAAGGAGGAATCACTGCCTTTTATTTATTCTGTGCTCACTACATGCTGAGCACTTACAGCCTCATAGCAACTCTGCAAGCTAAGCATCGTTATTACCATCTTACGGATGAGGAAACATGCTCAAAGGGTGAAAGTGACTTGCACAAGTGTTTTCTGGGAAAGTTTTAGCCAAAGATCGGGGAAGACTCCCTTGTCTTTCCCTAAATTAGCCAATTATTTATAATTTTATACAGCATTGAACGAAAGATTCAAAACTCGAGGCAGCAGACATTAGTCAGAAGGGTTTTTCAAAAGTAGTTCCTCTGTTTCCTACTGAAGGTAACAATATGTAGTAATTGATCACAGCTTCCTTCCCTACACTTGTTCCCCAGTCCTGTGCTGAAGTTCCAAATAAGTTAAGAACTGGAGACCCCCACCCGGCAGACAGAAAGTTCAATTGGACACACCTGGACATGGACTCTTCCCTATGCTGTTACCTCCCTCCTTCTTCCCTTCCTCTTTTTCACCCAAGAAGATTGATGGTGATGACATCCAATTACAACTTGTCCTTTCTTTTCTGCGGCCTTGAAAAGTCAGGATTCTTATGTTCTCAATGCGATGGCAGAGAAACAAACATGCAAAATCCCTCAGGACTTGGAGTAAGACTGAGGACCATCTTATGCCTTCCGTCCTTCCCCAAAGTGATTTGTCACTTGAATAAATGATCCCCAAAGCTCTTTTTCTCCAGTGACAGATGGACAAGTCCACATATTCCTGGAGGATGGAAGCAGCAGTACCTGCAAAAGGAAGAAGATCCTGCGATACAATTGTGTCCTAGGCACACCACAGTCCCATAGCTGACTTGAGTAAAAGACAAAGTATATTTTGGTTAAGGATGTGGCATGAGAAGAGGGAGGAACAGAGAAATACAAGGGTACTTCAAAAAGTTCATGTAAGGATTTGTACTGTCTGTCAATTCCATTTTTCCATGAACTTTTTAAAGTATCCCCATAAAGTGAGAAACACCGAGGGAAGAAGTGACAGACGTTGTAGGAAGGAGTGAGACCCTTCTCCCTGCACCTTTTCACTTTTCTGAGGCCCACCACCCTTTTCTGTACAGCGCTTTGTACACCTGACACTGGTGACCACACACACACACACACACACACACACACACACACACACACACACACTCTGCTCTGTAACTTGTTTTTTGGGGAAGCTGGCAGGTAAGGGGATCCCAACCGATGACCTTGGGCTTATAAGGCTGTGTTCTAGCCAACTGAGCTAATCGGCCAGCCCTGCTCTGTAACTTTTTAAAAAGTCTCTTCATGGCATATTTTGGGCATCTTAAGACATCTTCGTAAATGTTAAATATCAAACGATTTCTGTGTACTTTGTCGTGTACTACCGCAGTTCACAGATTTAAAACATCACTGTATAGAGCACTGTGAGTTACATCTTGACTCTTGTATGTTAGGTAACAATATTGGTTAAATCTGAGTATATCCACCACATCAGAGTATCTGCAGAGCAGATGAATCAATTTCAAGAAGCAGCGTGCAAGTAAAGGTTTAGCAACAGGCTCTCAGGGGGAAAGGGGTTGGGGGAAATGCCCTAAGTTGTCACATTTGCTGATGTCAGGATACCAAAGTGATGTCAATGAATGCAGAGTTGGGAAGAGATGTATTTTCACCACGCAGATACAGTAAATGTAAATAACCTCAAGGACATTGATAATAGTAAAATGTAGGAAAATAATTGGGGATTGATGAGTTTCGAGCATGCGTTATGTCTGTCTTCTATATAATGGATGTGATTGTTAGTTTAAATAATTTAGTTTTTATTAATGGCCGTATTTTACAACTGGCTCACAAAAGTCCTGACAAGTTAACAGTTGGCTCTTATGTTCCAGTAAAAACCAGCTCCAGCACTCCACTTCTTTCAACCCTTGGCCAGGAAGAATTCTCTTCCCAAGTAGGTTCCACTAGTACTGCAGGGCCACAAAGGGGTGCTACTACTGGTTTCTAACCAAGAACAGCCTAAGGTGTGTGGCAAAGTATTATTTTTTAGTGAAAACTGGAAAGATCTTGGACAAATACTGAGCAAAATAAATACTCAAAAGCATTTATGTGGGAATGTGGGTCTTGGAGGGGGGCAAAGTTGGGTAGAATTGAGTGGTAGGGACATAAGAATTAGAAAAACAAAATATACAGGGGTATATTCAGCAGATTTCCTAAAGGCTAAAGGAATGGGGGCAACTCATGTTACCTGGCCATTGGACCTGTATCTCTCATTAGACAGACAGACGTTCATTACTCACACTCCTCCTGCTTATATAAATGTTGCATAAGCTACACAATCTTCTCCACCTTGCCTTTTTTCACTTAAGAATATACCTTGAGGCTACTTGCTTGCGAAGTTGAGAACAGTGATATTCCACTGAGTGAGTGTATTGAGCACACTATAATGCATCGTCTGAAGTATTTAAAGCCACACATGCAAAAAAAGTTTCTAAAAACTCTACTTGCTCCCCACATTGAAAACTGTGTTATTTCAGGGAACAAAATCTGGTAGCCAAAGTGCGATGCATGTGAAGTGTTTAAAGATACACGATTTTAAAATGTTACTAAAAATGAAGAAGAAAAAAAAAAACAGCTCGAAATCACTCTATAGCGTTCTGTAGAGACATCCCTCATTATTTTCAATAGTTAGAGAGTACTCCACTGTGTGAATGAATGTACCATAGCTTTGTTAACTAGTCTTCTATTGACAGACACTTTAGTTGTTTTTATTCTTGTTATTACAAATATTGCTGCAATGAATAGCCTTGTGACATAATCGTTACTAGTTTTTAATCACTATATCTTTGGGATTTATCCATAGATGTACTATTGCTACTTAAGGAATAAAAACACGAGTTGTCTTTCTCATTACTGTCAAAACCCCCTTCATAAAGGTTGTGCCATTTGCCTTTTCCCCATCAATACCTGAAACAGAAAATTTTCCCAGAGTCTCACCAGTAGTGTCACCAGACTTGAATTTTGCCCATCTCTTGGTGTTAAATGATATATTGGTGCATATTTTTACTTGCATTTCCCTTGATACGAGGAAGGTTGCACATCTTTTGCATATGGTTAAGAACCATTCCTGTTTTATTTTTTCTTATGGACTGTCAGTTTAGTTTATATTTTCGGCCTTTTTTTTTCTTTTCAAAAATGTTCTTTATATCTTAGAGATGTATTACGGCATTAGCTTTTATTCTCTGACATAAGTTGCAAATAATTTTCCCTGTTTGTCATGTATCTTTTTACCTTGTCTGTGATGTTTTTTTTTTCTTTTTGCCATGCAAAAGCATTTTATGTTTATTTAGTCAACTTTATCAACAGCTTGCCTTATTTCTTCTGAATTTTCAGTCATAGCTGGGAAAGATTTCCCATTCTTGAGGTAGAGAGAAACATGCCCTGTAAGTGCCTATGTGGTTTCATACTTTACATTTTAAATTCCGGTCCATTTAAAATTCATCCTCTTATATGATGTGAGGAAGAAATGAAGTTATTCCAAACTTCCCCATGGGAGTGAAATCATCATGGTGGCAGTTAAGGAAGCTGCAGGCCCTGCTTCCTCCACAGAGACGTTAAGTTAAACACAATATACGGACTAGAATACCTCTACGAGAGCCGTAGCGATCAGTTGAGAAGCTTCAGTACACAGGCCACTGAAAAACCAAGAATGGATTTCAGCAAAACGGGTAGGAAAATTCCCGGTGTTTGGCCCACTTGTTTGTGCCCCTCGTCCTGTCTGGCACAGCGTGGAGCAACCGGGAAGAAATTTCTAATACTGGGATCCTCCTTTGGAACGGAGACGAAAGAGTGGACAGTGATCTAATGTTCTGGCTTGTCTGGGCGATGCTGGAGGGACTGGCTTCTGTCTCATGAAGGCTGAAGCAACCTGAGGCAGAGTTTGGAAGCTCCTGAAAACAGAGGAGAGTAGCACGTTAGAGCTGCAGTAATGCAGGCAGAAGCCAGGGGGAGCAAGAGATCAGAAAAGGTTTGGAGAGGTCCTAGATACCCCAGCCAACTTGTGAAGGTCTTCCTATGCACCAAGCCAGTATTGCAAAGACTGGGAGAGGTGGTTATTTTCTCAAATGCCCAAATCCCAACATAAGATTGCAAGGCATACATATCAACAGGGGAACATGGC